GCCACACCCAGAGAGTGGTGGGGGACGGGTCCTTTTTGACCTGGAGGGATGTGGGCAGTGGGGTTCCCCAGGGCTCGGTCCTTGGGCCCATGCTGTTCAACATCTTAATCAGTGACTTGGATAAGGGGGTGAAAAGCACCTTGTTCAAATTCGCAGATGACACTAAGATGTGGGGAGAAGTGGGCATGCTAGAAGAGAGGGACAGGTTACAACTAGATCTGGACAGGTTATAGGGGTGAGCGGATGAGAATAGGATGTGTTTCAATACTGGCAAGTGCAAGGTACTGCACCTAGGGAGGGAGAACCAGCAGCATACCTACAAGCTGGGGAACTCACTTCTCATCAGTGCAGAGGCAGAAAAGAATCTTGGAGTCATGAGTGATTCCCAGATGAACCTGGGCTGCCAATGTGAAGATGCGATCAGGAAGGATAAATGCACCTTGTCATGCATCCACAGATGCATCACGAGCAGGTCCAAGGAGGTGATCCTCCCCCTCTATACGACACTGGTCAGGCTGCAGTTGGACTACTGCATCCAGTTCTGGGTGCTGCACTTCAGGAGGGATGTGGACAGCATCAAGAGGGTCCAAAGGAGGGCTCGGGGGAACAGGGACTCTCCCATTGCCTGCTGGTCCCCCTTGGCAAGTTTATAGACAGCCACCAGATCCCCTCTCAGCCTTCTCTTGTGAAGGCTGAACAGATTCAGGTCCTGTAGCCTCTCCTCATACGGCCTGCCCTGCTGCCCCCTGATCATGCCCTCCTTGCTACTGGGATGCATGGAATTCCTCATATGAGTAAGCCTAAGCATGTTTTCAAGATCAAGGTCTGTATTTTTAAAATGACAATTTATTGGTAATTTTAAAGAAATACTTACCAGCCACCTCTTCAAGGTGATGGGGTTGATGTTAAAGTCTTTCACCAATCCCAGGTCATGGTACATATGTTCCAAACAACTCAACATCTGTAATGATGAATGGACAGGTTGCTGTTTTGGTAAACAGGACCGTCACTTACAAAGCATGCTGTCCAGTATAATATAGTCTCCTGACATGCCCTAATGAATGGCAAAGCCTTCTTGTCAAGGATGAAAGGAAACTGTTCAAAGATACCAAGATCAAAGCCAGTTCATGAAAGTGTGATCCAAAGCCTACTGAAGAGAACAGAAAGACTTCTATTGACTTGGAGCAGGCCCTGAATCATCCCCGGGCTCCTTAGTTATCAGAGCACCTAGAGATCATAAGTATTTCATTATTTTCATTTTGCTAATGGAGCTGGTAGATGAGCCTGATTCAAAATGAAATTAAGTTAGCAGAAGCCCTTCCACTGACTTTAAAGGGCTGAGGACCTGCCCTAAATGCACAGCAATATGTCAGTGGAAGATGAGAGCTACTGGTAACCAAATATGTCTTTGGCTAACTTCCTGTAGGGTTTGTTTTTTTTTAAATCAAGAATTGTTATTAGAATAAATAGATTAAAAATAAAACCCTTCAAACTGTAAAATTGCAAAATCTCAGCAGGTTTGTGAATATCCGTATTCCAAAAGCACATCTATGAGTTTCAGCAGCTGAAACACAGAGGCCAATGTTCTTTGGAGACACCCACACAACAACATACATTTCCCATTTTCAGAACAGAAGGCAATTACTTCAGCTTTCCCATTCTGAGCCTAAGTGTTTAGAAATATCGCAGAAAAAGGACCTTTGTTAATAGGCTACTTGGGTCTTGCTTTAAGACTATTTGACCCAGAATCTGTATCTTAATTACAATGTCATGGGAATAATGTTATAAATATGGCCATTGGCCAAGGAGATACTTGCATTATAAACTCCTGTGTCTCACATACTCATAAGCTTCCCAGAAAAATTACTTCCTTTTGGGGAAATTTCATGCCTCTGTCAGCCCACAGTGCATTTAATATGTTTAGTAAAATTACATTATGGCTGCCTTTGAGTCATTCGAGTGTAAGAAAAATAGGCTTTCCCACAAAACCAGAGAAATAATGTCAGAATATTGACGTGTGCTTAGATAACACTATCACAATTTTGCTGGAGAGCATCACATTTAGCCCCTGGGTCTCAAGGTAAAAATATGTGTTTTGCTACTCTTTCAAAAAAATTGCTACTGAATAGTATAGGCTTAGGCTTCATTTACTCTTACCAAGTACACCTATGTCAGATATGTGTGTGATTGTTATTTTACTAAACTGGTAAAAGCCATAGTGTAGATGCAGTGATATTTGTATAAAGGTGCTTTATACTGATACCCTTCTATATGGGAGTAGCTGTACCAGTACATGACACATTTATACCAATATAAATGTACCTACACAAAAGGGGTGGTACCACTTTTCCTATTTTTGCACTAAGGGGCAGAAATTTTATTTGCAGACAAGGTCTTTCTCTGAAAGTGAAATCAGCATATTGCACATCTGTTGTGCTTCATTTTCCTTAATAATTTTATTGTGTATCTAGGGCAATTATCCAGCAGGCTGTAAGTAGCTGTAGGCTAATTGAAGCATTTAGTTTAGTCTAGTATTCCCACAATTTTTTTCCTTGTGCTTCCTTTTTTATTTTTTATGGGGGCGGGGAAATAGGCAATCAGATGCAAAATTGCAATGTACACAAAACTCAAAAAATACACATTCTCACTATCTGCAGCAACTCTAATTTATACATATCTGGGGGCATGGGTTGTTCGTGTGTGGCAGGGCACTTGGTGTGCCTGCCACTTCAAGAGGTCAGGCAGCTGGCTGAGTCACTAATTAGAGAGTCAGCTGACCCAGGGTCCAGCAGGTGAAGCAAGGCCTGATCAAGGGAGTCACCTGACTGATTGGAGGAGGGCTGGGTGTAAGCCTAGAGCCTGAGAGCAGGGCTGGCAGTAACATCTTGGCACATTCAATACAGACATACAGATAATTCAAAAAGCCTGAGCCTGAACTGATTGAATCTCTGCAGGTTAGTTTAACAGGCATGCAAGTGAATAGACATTCACTTTTGATTCCAGAAATGCAGGCACATGCCTGCAGTGGCTCAGGCTAGAAGCTGGGGGGTGCTAGAGTAGCTCTCCCTTCCCTTCTGCAGTGGGTAAAAGGGGGGGAGGGGGGGGTGGGGGGGGGGGGGTGCCCAGGCCCTGGCAGGCTGAGTATCATTGAGGAGGGGTTTAAACCCCCACCCTGACCTGCAGGGACCCCAGCTGTGGTATGCCTGGATGGGGAGGGGGAAAGCAGCCCCTGCCAAGCTTTTACAGGGCTGGGGAGAGGCAGCATGGGTAGACCCCGGCCTGGCACCAAAGGGTCGAGTCTCCCCACCCCGCAGTTGGCTGGGAAGGGCCCTGCCTGGCTCCTCCGTGCCCACCCTCAGCAGCACCCATGGGTTCGGCTCAACCCCAGCCTCAGGTGAGGCAAGCAGATGGCAGGACCATGCCAGCTGGCACCTGGTTACACCCCTGCCTCTGCTGCTGAAGTGGCAAAAGGGGGGGGACCCTGACAGGTGTAGCAATCCCTGTCATGGTGTCCCAGGGAGCACAAACCTCTTCCTGGTGGGGCGGGGGCTGTGCTGTAGGCAGGAGCAGGGCGGGCACAGCTGCTGCAGCCTGTGCAGGGCGAGTGGCAGTGGCAGCAGCAGCACTGGGAGGGGTGGCTACAGAGGCTAAGGTGAATTTTAGAGTGGCTATAGTCCCCCCAAGCTCCCCCTAGTACCACTGTCACTTAGACCCCTGTAGCCATCCTTCCCAAACCTGCCACTACTGCTGCTCACCCCGCACAGGTTGTGGCAGCTCTGCCTGCTCCATTCCCATCTGCAGCACAGCCCCTCCACTGGGAAGAGGCTTGCACTCCCTGGAACACCATGACAGGGACTGCTGCCCCTGTCAGAGTCCCTGCTTCTCTTCCCCCCCCTTAAGGCTCCAGTGGCAGGGCGGGGGTGTGGCTAGACACCAGCCAGCATGGCCCCCTGAGGAGAAGGGTGTACGGAGGGGGTTTATTTCCCAACCACAAGTTGAGTGGTCATTATAGTAAGATCAGGGCAGCCTCCCACAATTATATATATATATATATATATATAAACATCAAGGCATGGCAGACATGAGTGGGGGAACTACCCTTAGAGCAGGGTAATTTCTGTTATCTTCTATGTGAATGGGAGAGTGAACTTAGAGCCACCTAAATATGACTTCCCAGAAGCTTATTAACAAATTAATTGTATGAAATATATAATTCCTGATTTTTTTTTAAATCTTTGGCATTTTTCTTTGTCATAGGCTATATTCACTTATGTGTACCTGGCTTGCTCTCTTATGCGTACATTTTTTTAAGATTTACTTTGTGGTGCTAGTTTGCAGCTCTGCCCAATCATTAAATCTTTTTTTAAAACTTAGATAGGTCTCCCCCTTCCCTTTTTCCCACTCCATGTGGGACCTGAAAAAGAATATGACCTAAAGAAGAATGTCTGGCATTTGGAAGCTTGTCTAACTCTTATCGCAATTCTGTGGTTGGTCCAATAAAAAGTATCATCCTAAGAAATCCTTGCCCCTCAGATAATTCCTGGATCATCATGGCTACTACATCACTCTTCTACCACTACCTTTTCTCCCCACTATCATTTGTTGACTCTTGTTTCAGATTATATTAGAAGATTTGAATGACAGAGGCCTTGTCCTTCTCTTTCTTTTCCATGTTTCTACAACAACTAACTCAGCAGGGCCTCTGGGAGCTTCCATACTATTAATAATGAAGATGAATAAACAAAAAAATAGTGTGTGTATATGTATGTACATAAATAACCTAGACACACACACCACATGCATACCTACATATGCTATTTCTATTTTTATTTTTTTTACACACAGAGACATATATACCTATATATCTCTACCTATCGATAAGTGCTATGCATCTATATTTCTACCTAGACTTCCACGTCTCTGAGTTTTTCAAACACAAAAATCTGGAGAGACTTTAAAAATTAATTAAATCCAGCAACATATCTAAGCATGTACTTAACTTTAAGCAGATAAGTAGTCCCATTGATTCTAAAAGAATTATTCATTTTCTTAAAATTAAGCACATACTTAAGAACTTTGCTGAATACGAATGGATTTACTCAGACTAGGTGACATGAAAGAATGATGCACTTGTCCTTGAGTGGCATACTAGTATGTAGATTATGAAGACACTTAAAACAAAAAAAAAGCATGTGTTTCCATAATAAGACTAATCTACCTGGCATCCTTAGAGAAAACTCCAGCATGAATCAGAATTAAAATTCAGACATATTAATCTGTTCCCCCCCATCCCATCTTTAAAAGCGCAAATTTAAACTTCCAGCCTAAGGGATCATGACAAATATATTAGTTAAGGGGTGGAAAAAAACCCAACCTCAAGTGGATATGCTGGCTTTATCCAGTCTTGTAAAGAATTCCGATTCAATTGCCAGCCCAGCTATGTGACTGCTCACTTCTAAAGATACATTTTAACGTAAAAAAGAAGGGTCTAGTTTCTATGTAGAATCTTAATATAAACAAGGCAAAGATAACTTACTTTTCTATAACTAGTCAAGGAAGCCCATATGGCACCCACCTAGGGCTTACCTCACTTGATAGTGCCTTGTCTCTACTAAGCTTTTTCAGTGAGTTAGCTAAGTGGAGTGACCTACCTCCATGTAAAAGCATAGCTATTTGTGCAGTGATAAACAGCCTCAATATAGAGAAAAACACTTTAGTCATTGGCATTGATCAAGCTAGCTGAAATGTTCCCTTACATGAGGTGAACACTGAAAAGGGCAGTTGGTGCAAGCCTCCATATTCTCCTCCACACTTGCCAGTCTACATGCTTATAGCTATATGGAGGGCTAGCTACAAATCACTGAATCAAGCCTGTACTGCTGTCATTCGGCCTCCACTTACAGATGTTGAAGGTACCTTTCCTAATATATCCAATACTGACATGGGAGAAATGAAGCTGCAAACACAAACCAGTTATTCACTCATTGCTTCATTACCTCATTGGGCTCCCATAGCCAGACGTCAAATGTTGGTTTCCGAAGTGCTTCTATGGTCTCTTGAGAAAGCATATACTGTAGACAAAATGACAGCCAGCATTACTGTGAGCTCATCTCATTGGAGCTCCTGGGAGCTGCTCTCTCCACACTCCACGCCCCATCCTGTGTCCCAGCTGCAGCTGGAGAATGCATGATGGTCTGTTGTTTTTAATCTTAGATGTTTTGCATTGCAGGGGGAATGAAATACTTCACTTCAGCTGATTTACCCATTTGTTTTGAATGGCTGGGTTGGGTGACAAATTCCCACATTTTCAGTCAAGTGTGCTCTAAAGCTTATACAGTCATCAATTCTGTGTTCAGGGCTCCAATACAAAACTCAATTCAACCTCCAGTGTTGCTTCTGTGTGGGTAATTCTGGCTGGCAATTTTTTTTAATAGTCATCAGGAGGGTTAGAAAAGACACAGAAGTATGGTATCCCAATGCTGTTGAGTCATGTTTTTGAGATAATGGATCCAAGTATTTTTGGATCATTTAAACTAGTTTAAGCCAAACTTTTAGACAGGTATGCCACAAGTTAGCCTTGCACCCTCTATAAGCATGCCATTCTGATCCCCTTTCCCTGCCCAATCTGTTGCTCTGATTTACTGCTCTGCTTTCTGCTCCCTGCACAATCTGTCACTGTTCTGCCTGTCCTCTCCCTGTTCTGCCCTGTGCCACATACAGAGGCAGCTCATGCCACTTGTGGCATGTGTACTGCAGGTTGGCCACCCCTGATGTAAACCAACTAAGTTTAATTAGCCATTTACCACCATGGGCTTGAAGTGGTTTGGGGCTTTCTATGCTGAAAATATGAATGAAATTATTTCAGCCATTGAATGCCTGCCAGTTAATTCTAGGGAGAAAATGTTTAAAGATGAATTCTTTTTTTCTAGAGGGCAGTAATTTTTGTGTTTTCATATGTGGCTTATGTTTAGTACACAGGTTTGCAAGACATCTGTGAATTAGCCATATTGATTTTTTAATTAACAGCAGCATTGCAATTCCCAAGTATGTTTCAGGTGAACTGCCAACTGCTAATATGACTGAGATCTTATCATCTCAACTGGGCATCCAAAGTCTTAAATGTTCCACATGTAGAGCAAACAAAAACTAAACTCCTCCTGAAACCAAGCAATTAAAAAAGTTTTCAGGTCTGGGCAGAAAGGAGCATCAGTCTACCACTAACATTAGTTAATGCAGTCCTCATCCACAGTTGTTTATCTCAGATATCAAGCATTATAGCACTGAGTAAAAGGTAAAAGTATAGATGCTGTTTACATATCCTGGAACCAAGCAAAATAGATTCATTTGAGAGCTTGTAGGCTTTGAGAAAGTGTGCGACTGGTGTTTGAAACACACAAAAATAGCCAGAAGGTAATATATAGTGGCCATCTGAGAACCTTACCAATGAACTTCTTCTTTGTTGCGTCTCCAGTCCAACCTTTCTATATGGTCTACTCCCAATATTGGATCCAGTATCTCAAAAACTCATTGCCTGAATAGTCCATTGCATGATGAAGCTCCATGAACTAATTTCAAAGATACATGTATATATCATAGTTGTGTGTGACTTGTATCACATGAACTTTGAAGAAAATGAACCAAATCTGACTTGGGCGGAAAATTCATATAGGTACATGCAAACAACAAAACTAGGATATGTGCAGATGAATCAGAGTTTGCCAAGATGCAAACTGGACAAACAGAAAATATGGTTCCAGGCTCTGCAGGGGGTGGGGGGGGTCAGTTTCCTGGGCATATGGGGAAAAGAGTCCCACACATTGGTATGACCCTTCTTATTGATGCTACTATGTTTTGGGGTTCTATTTGTAATTTAATTTCCATTTACAACTGTGAAAAATATATTTTTAACTTTTAGTGTATCTTCTTATATAACTATGGGTGTAAACTATTTGTGCATTTAATAGAGAAAAAACAAACTCATTTTCATAATCATAATGAGTCACCCTAGAGAGCATCAAAAGTTAATGTTTTAGCGATATTTTAAAAAAGAAATAAAATCACCCATGAATTTAGGACAAAGTAGAGGAGCCCTCATAAATAAGGACATGAAAGTTACAGACCACAATATATTTTGTTGTGAGTATGCAGGATAAATAAATATTATTAACCAAAAGAACACTACCTGTCTGATGAATACAAAGCATTCATTAACATCTTTGACACTAAAAATATTAAAGCCTAATGAAGGTCTGATCCCAAACTCTCTAAAGTCAATGGGAGTTTTTCCATTGGCTTCCAGATGACAGCTTTGGATCAGGGTCTTGATCTAAAGCAACTGAGCTTTAGAGGGATGGGAACCCATGAACTGTACTCTAGCTCCTGGTAAGAAGGCAACTTGCATATATTAATAGCCCGACAAGGATGTGCAACTTATGGTACCTTTGGGTAGGAAGGTACATCCCGTCGGGGTGTCAGCTTTTTATTTTCATCCAAAAAGCTGTACTTACATGGACAGTTGATCCTGCAAATAAAAAGTTCAGTTATCACAAGTGGGAAAATAGCCTGGCATTGTTTGCCTCTCGCAGCACTGCTCCCCCTCCCTTCTCTCTCTTGTATTCAAATAATTCTATTTGATACACTGCTCTGTGCATGTCCTTTTACAGCATCTGATGAAGTGAACTCAGGTCTACAAAAGCTTATGCTATATATAGGTATAGCACATATGTATTGGCTCTCTGTCTGCCTGTGTCTGTCATCTGATTTAGTTAGTTTATACAGTGCAAATCTACCTTGCCATTCTCTAAAGTACCATAAATTGCTAAGTAAATATCACCTTGAATCCAACTGATTCCCAATTTATCCTAACAACCTTATTTTCTCTGATCATTAAAAAGAAATCAGTCTAGGGTTGCATTCAAAAGCAAGTCAGCTTTGCAGCCATATGGGGCTCTATATAATTGATGCCCTTGTAATACCATAACTTGCCAGAAACAAATGTAGGCATCTCCGAAACTCATTCATCCATGGTTCTTCCCATGCAGGCAGTTACATAGGTTTATTACTGTCTATGGAAAGCTGTTCTACTTGATTTTAGCATTTATTCCTCCTGTTTAGAGTATTTCCTCTAATTTTTACCAAGAACTAAAGCAAGATATCCTGGGTGCATCTACACATGCAATTAATTTGAAGCAATAAACCCTGGAGCAGTTTGAGCCGAAGTAAACTACTTCTGGGCACAGAGTCTACGCGTACACCTGGGATAGCAGCAATATAAGGTGGGGCAGAGCAGTTTATGACAGGGTTGCTCAGCCCCAGGCTCCAGGTGGCAGCGTTGGGTGGCAGAGAGGCTGCCTGGGTGGGACACGACAGTGCTGAAAGTGTGGAGCTGTGTGGCTAAGCGACAGGCAGGAGTCTGACCCCTGGTTGGTTGGGCCGACTGAGTACAATTATGCCTGCAGTCAGCGGCTACACATGCATTTAATCACAATAAGTTACCCTGGTGTAAGGCAGTACTGTCCAGGACAGTACTATCTTACTGCAGTATTAATTAGTTTACTGTGACATGATGCTGTTGCACGTGTGGACACCGAAGCTTTACTCCATGGCTAATTAGCGTACTCTGCAGTTAAGCACATTTGTTGATGCGGCTCCTATCAACCTTACTTCAGAATTTTCACAATTTCTAGTGCATCACTTCAAACTCTTTTCTTTTCCAGTGTGAGTAAACCAAAATCCCCTTAGTGTTTCCTCTGAATTTTGTATTTGCTTTCCTTTCTGTTGCTGTCTTCTGCCTCCTGTGCAAACCAGTTTCCACTTTGGAGCTGACTGTGGTGTGAAAAGTACTATCATGATTATTTGTATTAGCTCCTAGATATCCTAACTGAAACTGGGAGCCTATGGTGCCAGGCTTTGCACAAACTTTGAGTCACAGTCCTTGCTGCAAAGAGCTGGCAGTCTAAAGAGATGTGCCTGACAAAGGGTGGATGAAAAGAGCTATTACCCATTTTTACAGATGGCAGCCAGAAAAACTAAGTGATTTGCCCAAGGTCACACAGGAATTCTGTGGCTGAGGTGAGTACAGAACCCAGATCTCCTGAGACTGTCTCTTCACCCCAAGAACTATTGGTCTTTCTCATTATCAAAGCCTGCTCCTTCATGTGTTGAAAAGGGAATCACTGAGCTACATTCACCGCTTTGATGTGCTTGTTTCATGTTTCCTCCCACAACCCTATTAACCCATTTTAACCAGGCACCTTTTCCTGCCTAGTGAAGGATGAACCCTCAGGCGGTGAAGGGTCACATTCCTGACTTCTCTGCTATGCTCCTCCAAGCTTCAGTGCTCAGAGATGTGGGGGAAAAGGAGGGGTGGCCAAGGCATCTTTGCATCTGAACAATATTAAAACCTGGGAGCCTGCAGGCAGCTAGAGCAAAATTCATCAGCCTTTGTGATGTTACACCAACAAGTGCATAGGAACCTGGACATAAATCTGACCCTGGCCTGAGTAAGGCACCTAGACTGCATGCCCAAAGAAATGGACTTGTTCAGCTGCAACTGCAAAAACAGAGGTCCGTGTTAACAGTCTGACCCTTAATATGTGGGTGATGGGATGGGACGTTTGTTCTTTTCTGCAGAACCATACTTTACACTGTATGGGATGGCACTCAGGGCCAGGCACTTTATAGCCATGGGTACTGATCATGTTATTCATTTCATACCACGTGTAATGTTATGGTGCCAATGTTGTTTCATTTTAACAAGTACTGTTGGGAATGAAATACTGACTTAGGAACAGCACAAGAATGGGCAAACCACAAATGCTCAGTTGCTCCTGGACCTCTCTCTCAGTCCTCCTAGCGGAGGCTTGGTTTGCTTAGCAATTCAAGGAGGAAACTCCTCTCTCAGTGAATCAACTCTTATTTATGTCGTTATTCAAGCTGAGCCATGGTTGCCAGGGGAACCAGTAGCTACTTGTAATTACTCAGCATCTTCCAGGGGATCCTTCTGAAGGGCAGTGCCAAATAGGGAGCATCCTTTCCTTGCTTTAAGAAAGGTGATTTATGGTGATCCTGGATTATATACTGCATAGTTCAGGTCCAGCTGCTTTTGCAAGAGCCTTTTATGAAGATTAGTGTGGGTGGAGGTTTTGCAAGTTTTTCTATGTTAGTAGGTTAGGACCTCTGCCTCGAATTGACATTAAAAACAAAACTGAATATGTTGGTACTTCTCTACCTCAGTGAAATGAGTAGTATTCAGTCTGAGATGGCAGGAAGGATGATCCTTTGGTTTAAGAGAAGGCTGAGGAATGATGAGATATGAGCCTATTCAGGGTTTCCTATATGAGCCTGACATATTTTCTCTACTTCTGTTTCCACATCTGTAAAATGGTGATAATACTGAAGTGTGTTGGCTAGTGGTCTGGGCTCTTGAAACAGACGGATTTGGGCTTAAATACAACCATGACTGATATAAGACTTGGATATTTCAGCTGCTGCCTTCCTTTCCTGGGAACAAGGTCTGGCACACCTGATCTGTCTGACCTTTGGGTAAAGGGCAGCATGACCCACCTCAAACAATCAGTAGTAAATTAAAAGCAAATGTTGTTTTTAAAACTCAGTCACCTTTTTGTCTCTTTCAGACACTGATTTCAATACAAGTCCAGCAGTATAAAATGGGTATTGTGGCATGGTGAACTGAGCCCCAGATTTTTCGTTTTTTTTTTTCTGTTTCAAGGTACAGCCATCAACTCTATAAAAACGCTGCTGCCATATTAGCTTGGCTCTTATAGAAAAAATATCTAGCCCAGGGGTGGCCTACCAGTGGCATACATGCCACATGCACACAACCCCAGGGAGAAAACAGGCAGCACAGCAGCAGGCAGGGCAGGAGATAGAAAGCAGAGCAAGAGATCAGGCAGGGAGTAAAGGGCAGGGAGCAGAAAGCAGAACAGGAGATTGGGTAGGAGAAGGGGTTTGGAGAGGCATTTGGGGAGGGTACGGAGCTAATTTGTGGCGTACCTGCCAAAAAGGTTGCCCCTCCATTGATCTAGCCTAACAACAGCAGCAATAGAGAGGGTAACTCATTCCTTAAGTGTACCCTTAGCTTCAGGATGATACGCGAGGGGGTAAATTTCACATTTCACTTGGACACATGAACAACACAAATGAGTTTTTTCTTTCCTTCAGTAGACAGAGGACAGAAGCTTAATCTAGGCTCCCCTCTCCCCATGGCTGATCATCACCCAACAGCAGACAGACTGTTGGAGGCAGAGGGCAAGAGAGACCTACCCACCTGACACCCAGACTGGCACAAGACTCAAAAGAAGAGTGAAATGGAGATGTAATGTATGGGCAAGTGAGCGAGTTACTGTGAAATAAAAGTGTAGGGTTGGGGGAGGAGGGGCTTTTACAGGCCTCAGCTGCTCCAAGGTAACTGCCCACATGCAGTCTCTAATCTTGTGGTAAGTGGAAGCTAAACTGCAGCAAACGTATTGCTCTTCCATTGAACTTGTTACCATGAGTTAATTCCCACTTACCACAGGGTAAGAGGGGGAACAGAGGCAATTACTTTAGAGCAGCTGATACATACAAAGCCCTGTCATCCCCACCTCTGCAGTAAGTTGTCCGTATGTTCATACCGTTAGGGGTGGGAGTGTAAAGACTTTTGTTGCTTTCCTAAACACAAGGCACTGCTGTGTCCTTTCAGAGAAAGAGTTTTAGAAATTCTGAGCACAGCCTGTGTTCCTAAAATTCCTAGCCCCATGGTCCCTGAGGAGATCAAATACAAACTGCTGTGCTCACAACAAGGTAGACCTTGGTGGGAGCACAAGTCAGTGACTGGGGAGGCTTGGGGGGGCTCTGCTTTACTTTCAGGGACCAGAGCAGCTGGATGGCAAAGTGCCATATATCCCCAACTCCAGGTTTGATTGGACAAGCTGAAATAACATGTCCACACTCAATCAGCAGGTGTGACCATATCATGGGAAAGTGCACCCAAGCTGACTTTAATTCAGTTATCTTGGGTACCAACAACAGTGAAGATATGGCCACATGGGCAGGTTGTATAAGCCTGCCGGAGTCCCTGGGTACTTACTTGGGTGATTAGGTGACTCTGCAGCCTGTCCTGCTTTGTCTCTAGTACTTCTGGTACCTATGTTAGTTAGAGTAAAGCTAGCTCAGATCTGGCTATGCAAGCAGCAGTGACAGCACCAGCAGCTTCCGTGCAGACACAGCATGAAAAAATGACATTAGAGGCTCAGAGCTAGAAACAGTGACTGGGCATTTCCAACTTGGTTGGGTTTGGGAAACAACAGGGATGTAAAGATTGGGTCCAATTAAAATAAACTGATGACTGTCTGCCTGGGGGACACAACCAGGTCTGTAAGAAGCAGTAGGACTTGTTATTCCAGTTATTCTGATTAAATGAGTATCTTAACCTGTTGCTCTTTATATTACAAAATATAACCCATAAAATCATACAATCATAGAAAAGTAAGGCTGGAAGGGACCTCCAGAGGTCATCTAGTTCAACCCCCCCCCAGAGACAGGATCATCCTTATCCAAACCATCCTATACAAATCTATTGTCTAACCTATTAGGAAAGCTACAATGATAAGCTTTGGAATACAAATGAATGCACAGTGCTGCTGGAGAAATGAAACCTGAATTTCCTAATTTCCATGTGTTTCTTAATTTGTACAAAGTTGCATTAACTTAATTTTTGGTTCTGCTTGTCCATCTATACCCCTTCTGCCAAAGGCAGGAAACAACAGATACATTAGGCAAATTGAAACTAGCTCTGAGCCTACATGTTTTTGAATTTGCTGCCAAACTCAGCCCTAATTATGCTAATGGAATTTCCTCATGCACCTTAACAAGCAATTATGGAACCACTGGGGCAAATTCTTCTCACACTTGTATAAATCTGGAGTGTTGCCACTGAGGTTAATGGCATTAGTCCACATATAAGTCACTAAGATAAAGTAGATTTTGGCCTTAGGACCTATTATAAAACAAATGCATTATTTGATCTATTGTAGTACATTACATCTGAATAGTACCAAACTTATATAAAACCCAGGTATTTTAAAGCCAAGTCCTGTGGCCCTTTAAGCAAATCTCCCATTGATTCCAATGGATGATTTTTCTGATTAAAGACCACAAAATTAAACCCTATATACAGAACAACAGTGGTAGGCTTTCAAGACAACACATCATTCACTTTGCTCAGAATCTGAACTGTCAGGTGTATTTCTCTTTACCTCTACTAGCAGTATAAATAATATCCCACCTCCTGATACGTTTGCCCTAGTGGTGTATTTCACTAACATAAAGATCTGATGTTCCAGCAGATGAAGCATACCATCGCAAGATCTCATTCCTACTGCTGCTGTTATAATTCCAGCAAGACCAAACTTGGTAGCAGCAGACTGGTAGCGTGACTTCTTGAACTGGGAGTTAAACCCTTATTTCTGGTTGAAATTTTAAATGGACATTCTGTAATACCCTGAGGTCATAATAAGAAAAGCTGTAACATATTTATTGTCATCTTTTCCCGAAACAGGATTTGAATCTCAGGGACATTTATTAGAACACTAGCTTCTAACAAAAGCGTTATCAAAGTTTTTCTCTCTCTCTTCTCTGCCCCCCTAATAAAGCTGTTATAAAATTCCTATCACTGGATGGCTGAACACAGAGAAAACAAGATGTTAATCTCTGTCTGCGAGGATTTTTTCCCCCGTCATCTGGAATGAACTTTTTTTAAACTGCTGAACTGCCATAAATTCTCAGACAAAAAGCTTTTAAAATAAAGCTGATATACTTCACTGTACCCCATTGTTTCCTTGCTTTGGCATTTGAAACCCCCCAAATGTAACTATAATCTACAGCAGTACTTTGTTAGAATTTGAATCCAGAAATCTCTCCAGATTCTTCTTTTCCTCAATAGTAATTGAAGCAGAACTTACCTGGTGTTTCTTGCTGCCATTTCCTCCCTCATTTTTTTAATGTCACTCTTGCATTTCTCAATCTCTACTACTTTTAGCCCTTCCACTGTCAACAAAGGGAAACAACAGGGGTGTTACCATGGAGAAACTTGAGAGATCTCATTTCAATAATTGTGCAGAATTTCAAAAGGCTTGTAGCAGTGGGGTTATCCAGTGAGTCAACAGGTCCTTATATTCTATACCAGTTCTCATACATGCAGGTGCTGCCAACACAGTATAACTTTAAAACCCATAGGAATTTTCTGTTGCCAATTTTAGAAAAGAGCTCAAGGATTGTAATTCATGAAATGGTTTACAGCATCTCAGTTTTTCAGGGTAGTTTGCAACAGCCAAATGCTCTGCCACCTTTTTTCTCTCTCTCAGATCATTAATCAGAAGGACAAATAGGCAAGGGATGAGAAACTCCAGTGATCTGATCATCAGAACAGCCAACCTGCACAGTCACAAATGTGTTCTGCTAGGATTAAAAGTCCTATTCAGATAAAAGGTTTTCATTTAAAAATTCCAAAGGAGCAACAAAAAGCTGTTAAAGGCTTGTGGAGATGCAGACAAACCACAAAAGAGATATGCTTAAAAAATATTTTGACACTTTGTTTTATTTTGGTTAAGTACCTAAAGTATGTCACAATACTTTGCCACTCAATTGTTGTGCCATTAAAGGCCATTTTTTTGCATACAGCACACAATTCCTATATTCTCATCAGTATCTATTATTCTTGCCACAGGGCAGAAAGTTAGATCTACTCTGTTAATGCTGCAGCTATTTCATTCCAGGCAGATTTGAAAGTCTATTGCAGTTCAAATATATGGATTCTCTATCTCTCTCTCAGAATATTAACATTCTCAAGGACCTCATACAGCACAGCTATTAAGTGCATATCATTCACATGCGATCATTTCACAGCTCATTTATTTACTGAACTCACTGTTTGTGCAGACACGCTGAGGTTCAGGGAACTCAAGGGAACTTGTAATTGTATAATCAGTATTCAGTCACTTC